TGTCGAGACAAGGCACCAGCTCGGCCACCACCTGATATTTCTCCCAGCCAGTTCTCCCTCTCGACACCACCCCTGCTCTCAGACAGCAAGTCCTCGTTCTCATCTTGCCCTACAGTCATGCACCTCCCAAGCCCCGCTGATTCCACACTTACCCTCTCATCAGCTGCGCACACTCTGTCCCAGTCGCCCTTGCCTCTTCCCTTCACTATCCCTCTTCTGGGCAATTTCACGGTGGCACCAAAGCGACCGTCTCCTGGCCTCCCCAGTATTCCTTCTCCACTCCATCCTCTCCACTTCCTCCAGATGACTCTTCCTAAAGCCGAGCTCACGGTGTCCTCTGCTCCAAGACCCTTCGTGGCTCCCCGTTACCTACTGACAAAAGGTCAAAGCTGACGGCAGTCAAAGCACCTATTTGCAATTTACCACTAGGGCACCCTGCACAATGCTCAGATGGCTGCAAACTCAGGTGTTTTCCCTATTTGTCCTCATGATTCTTTTAAAAATTTTTTTTTTCAACATTTATTTATTTTTGGGAGAGAGACAGAGCATGAACGGGGGAGGGGCAGAGAGAGAGGGAGACACAGAATCGGAAACAGGCTCCAGACTCTGAGCCATCAGCCCAGAGCCCGACGCAGGGCTCGAACTCACGGAGCGCGAGATCGTGACCTGGCTGAAGTCGGACGCTTAACCGACTGCGCCACCCAGGCGCCCCTGTCCTCATGATTCTTAAGCCACTCACCGCATTCTGCAATCGAAGAGTTGAAGACAACTCTTCATTTCCCTGCGAGCAGTACTAGCACTCCCTGCTCCCGGAGGTTGTGTCTCTCTCTTGTACAACTCTGGGCTTGCGACATTCTTCTCTGTTTGTTCATTAAGGTCCCTCTTGTGGGTAGTACTGGCATCTCTCCCGGAAGGGGCAGCTGACCAACTGGAGGCCACGGGAACTCAGACGGAAAGGAGACGTAGGCCCAGCAGGAAAGGGAACCCCCTTCCCTTCATGGCTTTTCTTGGGCTGGAGTGTGAGGAGCGTGGAGATGCTGGAGAGGACTCCTGAGTGGTGAAGACGGCCTCTGCCACAGGAGAAACCGAGGGGGCCAGCACTAGAAAGCACGCAGGCTGAGCATGACAAGTTTATCTCCTTCCCTTCTCTCGGCACACGTTTACTAAAACACCTGCCACATGCCAAGAGCTGCGTGCCAGCCGTGGTGGGCTGGGAAGAAAAAGCCCTGATTCATAGCATTTGCCTATTTCTGTGGCTAAACATTCCTACCATTGCCGATTTCAAGCTAGCAACGTGACAGTACTGAAGGCGAAGCTGGGAAGAAACGCACTGTGCGTCACTGGTGGGGACACAGCTGTGAGTAAGAGGCTCAAGTAAGCCTTGGTCGCGGAGTCTGGTCTAACGGCATCTCGTTTCTGTTTTACTTCCACGTCTTCCCTTCTATTCTATGAGCTCAGGCCGGAGAGGGCGGAAGCCACACCTCACGCTTGGCTATTTTCCCCACAGCACCAGGCACGGTGCCCTGCTCGAGGGACACACTGCAGACTGGGCGGCAGATGGATGTCGTGGGGGCAGGGAGAGGATTGTCTGCCGAATGGATCCGCATGAGCTGCAAACGCATACCGGCCATACCTGCCCCCCATCCCAGCGGAGTGCAATCACCCACCAGCCATGGGTGAACTTCGAGTTGGCCTTCGGTAAGATTACACAGCTGCAAGTTTATCTCACGCCTTCTGCGCCCTGTGGCCCCTCTTCCCAGCTCCCGCACCCTTGGCCATGGCTGGTTCTCAGGCCTGCCCTCAGTTGGGACCCTCCTCCCTCGCCAAGGCCTTCGGTGGTGGGGCTGCGAGTAGGTTCCCTGACCTTGAAACCGTGTGAACAGTCAAGACGCGTCCCTGGCTTTTCAAAGGGGTCTGAGACCTCTCTCCACCCTCTCCTACCTCCAGAAAGGGTTTAGTTCTTCGGCTTAACCTGTGATGTGTAGGAACTACGTGTGGATTCTGGTCACTTTTGGGTCTTCCAGAAAGACGGGAGGTGGGGAGGTGCATGTATCAGGTACCCAGGCTGAGAGAGAGAGACAAAGAGAGACACACACATACCAGGTACAAGGGCAGAGAGAGAAATAGGCACACGCCAGGTACCAAGGCGGTGCATACCATGTTCTTGCAGCCTGTCACCCTCACACTCCCACACCAGGAAAGAAAACTGCCACCCTCTCCAGCATGGAGAGCAAAGCCAGAGGCAGCTCTTCGCCCTGGCCCCAACATCATAATGTGACCGTCCCTGGGCCAGCCAATGTGGTAATCTGTTTCCATTTCTTTTCTATTGCGATGTTTATTTATTTTTGAGAAAGAGACCCAAGATCCAAAGCAGGCTTCAGGGTCTGAGCTGTCAGCACAGAGCCTGACGTGGGGCTCCAACCCACGAGCAGCGAGATGATGACCTGAGCTGAAGTTGGACGTTTAACCGACTGAGCCACCCAGCGCCCCCGATCTGCCTCCATTTCTAAGCGAGCGGAAATGGCACTTTCTCTCACAGCCACGGGTCCGGTTTTTAATGAGCGGGGCTGGACGAGGCACCAGCCCCATGGATTAGGCTCCTTCTCTCCGTCCATTCTCCTCTTTTTTCAATATTCCCACCACAGAGCCCACAACACTTCAAAGATCAAGATTTTTATTTTCTCTGGCTCCAGTGTCACCACCGTAGCAGCAAGCCCGAAATATCCCCACGCATGAACGTATATTTGTCCCTGCTCCGAGGAGCTGGCAACAGGTGCCGGCAGAAACTCTGCTATTTCCTTCAGGCATTTAGGAAATGACACCTGCTCACTCTCACACATGGTGCATCTCACAGGTCAGAAGCAGCAGTCCCTTCGCCCGCAACAGACACGACCATCCTTAAGTGAAGCTAAATAAAACCTTCCTAGCGTAACAATGGGTTGGAGATGCAGCGTTAGGGGGACGTTGGAGGACAGGGCTTGGAGTAAGGCATCATCGTTAAAAAAAAAAAACAAACAGAAACAGAAGACACACAGAAGGATGTAGGCTAGTCCGTCGCTAGATTCGATCCAAAGGTAAGAAGACGTAGTCCTGGATTGAAGCTTTATAGCATCTGAAAAAGATCAACTTTTTAATTCTAAGATAACGCTCTGGTCTACAAATGATTGCATCGCAAGTCACGGTCTGGGCTTTAGCGTTCACACCCGTGTGCACGCACAGTTATCGAGCACTGTACTCAAGTGGCATCGCCTGAGTACAATGTCCAAGCACATGCCGTGATCACGCGAAGGTGGTCGTCACTGGGGTGCAGCGAGAACATTTTCCTATTTACTTCTCAATGTCAAAGTCACAGTCTGCACGGGGCAACAATACAAACTCTGGAGCCCAGGGCAAGGAGGAAAGTCAGTTCCCGCAAAACGCAGCCCACTTATATTTGTTTAGTGCTTCACAACCTTCAAAACTCAGAAACATGGCTTATCCAGCCTCACAAAGACACAGTGGGGAAGGCACCATTTCCTAGCCAATCCACGTGTACGGTGAGAGGACAGCCACGGGCCGACTTTCCAGCTCAGCCCCCAGAGCGCTCAAACTCCCTTCCTGCCTCTTCTTGCATCCCAAGGAGATCTCCTAGTGAGGGGAACAGTTTCTTTTCTGAATAACATCGAAAACAAAATCCTGCAAGAGATTAAAGAATATTTTGCAGCCTATCTTACGTGGACAAAAAGTGGCTGGATAATTTAGAATTCTCTCTAGTTTTCTTCCTTTTGCAGAACTTAACAGTAATGCACAGCATGTTCACAGAGGATGTGAACACTTCCCACAGCACCGTGGTCTCCGTGGACTTTTTGCACGCACAGTGGGGCACAGGCTTGCTGCAGCTGGTTTCCAACTGGTGTGTGTGGGGGGGGGGGGGGTGGTGGGTAACTCCAAAGTGGACAGGTCAGCAGCGGAGCCTTCCCAGGCCGGGAACACGGTCCTGTTCATGGGGCACAAGTGGGAGCTCCCTGACAGGGCATTCCCCTGTCCCTGACCTCAAAATTACCCCTGGAGGCAGTGTGCAGCGTCTCCAGAGGAAAACTGTTCCTGACTTCTCGGCAGGAATAAGAGCCTCCAAAGGCGCCTGGGTCTGAGCCTCAACGAGATGCACTACATCGACCGTGCGGAAGGTGAGGGGCAACGGGGCAAAGGCTGAACATACACGTGCCTCCTGCTCCTTTTTAAAGGGCTCTACAAGGCAATTGCCATCTTCCCTTGGAGAGGGCTGGCAAAGGGCGTGGGTGCAGGAAACAAAGTTGCACTTTCTTAGTGATAACCTGGCTCAGATGCACCATTTCAGAAAACAAGGCAGTGAGGCCTCGAGTTCTCAGCTGATGCAGACTAAGTGAGGCTGAAGATAGTTCTAGAGAGGCATCTTGACATGTGCATTAGAGTTCGGGCCTCACTTCAGCAGCTGGGTTCAGCCCGAGCTCCTGGCCTCTGTCACTGTGAGGTGAGAGGCTCTGTGACAGGTGAACTAAGGGTGGCGGAGGGATGAACAAATACCATAGACATACTTGCAATGTTTTTAAAAATCCCTAAAATGGCACCAGGAAGCAGATTTAGCCAACACACACACAGACAATATCTGAAGTGCCAGTTAAAGGCTGAAGCAGAAAGAAGTCCCAGGAATATGGGGTAGGATTTATCCCAGCTGCCCGCCCAACATGTAAAACGTTGGCATTTCAAGAGCTACTGAGTGCTGGCCCAGAGAGGCATTCCCGTCACTCACCACAAGGAAGGGAATGGTCTCAGTAGGTATAAGACTAGTCATCCTAACCCTATTGGGGACCACGGTCCTCCAGTGTGACCGTGCCACATTATATATGTGCCACCATTATATACGCATGCGTGCGTGCATACAGCAAGACAAAGTGCCCCAGGGCCAGATCTTTGGTCCTGGAATTTTTAGCACAAAGGTGACTGACTGAACAAAAGGAGGAAAAAAAAAACGTAGCTGGAAGTAATAGCTCATGATTTCATTTTCCACGTACCTTTTTCCCCCATGAAAAGAGAAATTCAAAATATAAACTTTATTATTTTACATTCAAGTGAAACTTCCATCTGGGGGGCTCCGCACAATTTTAGGCCGCATTCAGCAATTTACCACTTCGGTGCCTTTTTAACTTAACCCGATGGAAGCCTTCAGCCCTCTATTTTTTTTAAAAACAGCTTCATAGTCCCAGCTGTAACACCTATCTGTACACACACAGAGGCACACACACAAATCCAAAAACGTCTACGTAGAAAAATAAAGGATAAACATTATCCATCTATTTTATACTGTGTGCTGGAACTTTTATATACAGAACTCTCTTTTTTCTCTTTAATGTTTTCAGTCACTGCACATTTTCTCCCCTCTCGAGCGAACTGCGAGCCTAGGGCAGGAGACTGCTACAGTGAGGCAGAAAAGCTACATTCTTGCCAGAGGAAGGGAGACAAAAAGCCATTTGTCGCTTCCCTTCCAGTCTTTCCCCACCTACCACCTCGGATGTCCCTGCGGACGGCCTTCCGGTAAGCGGCTGTCCCCTCCCTCTAAGGCATCAGGGGAGCGGAGGGCCCATCCTGCAAACACCCCGCCAAAATCACCTCGGTGCGAGGACAAGGGAACGGAGGCAGGCAGGGAAAGCCTTTTAAAAATAAAAGATTCTGGAACCACTGCCCACAGCCCATTCCTTTAGTATGGAGTTCGATTCTCCAGCTTGTGCTTGGTGAGGAAGTACTTGAAGAACTCATAGACGGACCAGGAAATGGCAGTGGAGGGCATCTGGTAGATGACGCGGGCCTGCATGCCCTTGAAGTAGCCGGGCAGGCCATTGAGCTGGTACACCATCCGGAAGGCGTTGGCCATGCCCGACAGCCGGCCGCTGATGTTGGCCAGGTTGAGGGCCATGTTCTCCTGCGTGTTGAGGAGGGTCTTGCAGACGTCCAGGGGGGTGGTGGCGGCTGCGGCGAGCGCCCCGGCCAGCCCACCTGAGATGATGTGGGACTGCGGGTTGTAGCCCCGGTGAGGGTTGACTTGCTCCTGCAGGAACTCATAGGTGATGAAGTGGATGGACTGGAAAGGAATGTTCATGGTCAGCTGAGTGGTGTAGCTCCGGTAGAAGGCCCCCAAGCCCTCGGTCCTCCACACCGTCCAGACGCAGCTGAGGGCCGACCGGTGTGGCGAGTTGTACATCTGCATGCGCTGCTTCACGACTGTGGTCGGGGCCGCGGGCAGGCAATGGGTTGGGATCGGCCCCACCCCAGGTCGCAGTGAAATGGGAAGCCAGGCCATAAAGAGAAACAAGCAAGTTTAGACACACTGGTAACAGGTCACGGAGAGCTAGCACACACGCAGCCCCCAGCCTGAGGACCCAGAGCCAGCTCCGGGCACTCCCTGTTTCCAAAGGTGGCCCCAGGCCCCAGCGCCTGGTTTCTCCCGCCTGAATCCTGTTCAGGGTGGTCCCCAAACGAGGCAGCCACTTCAGACTAGATTCACTGATCTGATTCCCCCCAGAGCCCGCGGGCCTCCAGCATCACACCCCACCACAAAACCGAATCCTGCCCCCCCCCCCCCCCGGGTCTCTCCGCCCTCCTCCCTCCTGGCTGCTCCCGCGTCCTGTCCTTTATTCTCTGTATGTGGTCCGGACTCAGCGTTTCTAGCTTCTGTGTGTCACAGCGCTCTTGGAAGACACACTGGAATTATGTCAGCCCAAATTCAATGACAAAGTCCAATGAAGACCCGGGCAGCTGCTGGTTCAAAGGATGAAGCCAATGAGGGCCAGCTGTGGTCCCTCAGGCCTAAGGGTCTGAATAGCCCCCCCACGCACCACCAAATGAACACATACAGTGTGCTGGCTTTACTTTGAAAGAAATGAAGTCCTTAAACCATTATGTCAAAGAGGAGAGAGGGTGCTGAACCTCACTTGTTCCTCCTTTAAAAGTAGAAACAAAATTCTTGCCGGGATGACATGGTCTAGTTAACCGGTCACTCACCAGGTCCCTGTCCACACTGCTTTAAACACATAAAAACAGAAGCCCACCTCCCAGTCTGACCCATCAAGTCCCTGAAGGTCAGAACAAGGAGTCCCTGTCTGCCCGGGCATGGGAGGCAGCAGAGAGCAAATAAGAAATTTCAACCTTAAGAGACAAAAACAGACAAACTCGGAACACAAGACGTGAAAGGCTGACATTTTACCTCTGATTTTTCCCGTCTGGCAAGGGACCATTTTCAGATGGGGGGAAAGGTGGCGAGACTCATACATGTCACACAGAGAACAGCCCAGCTGAGAAGGGGCCCGATACCAGGTCCCAAGTCTCCTCGCTGTGCGGACCCGAGTCGGCTAAGGGCTCAAGTCCCCACAGCTGACAACTGTTTCATAGTTTTATAGTGCTCCCAAAATTCAAAATAAAAAAAGATAACGTGGGAGGAGTTGGCTAAGACAAGATGGCCAAAGGTTAATTCACAAGTAGAGTGATGTGCACGTGGTCGCTCCTAACACCCTTCTCTCTACACTTGTGTTGCGTTTCAAAGTGTCCATAATAATTCCAAATCTCTTTTTAAAAAGTAAATTGAACCAAAGCCCGCATGATTGCCTTTGATGGGTTCCCCTTAAATTTGCCTAGGGTTAATAAAGGTTAACAAGGGCCAGAGGGTGTGTGTGTGTGTGTGTGAACGTGCGCCCGCATGCACCTGTGCGCACGTGCACACATACATGTACACACAGGTTTTAGAGGAGTGCAAAAAGATCGCCCAGAGAGCTTGTTAAGACAGATTCTCTGGGGTGCCTGGGTGGCTCAGTCGGTTGAGGGCCTGACTTCAGCTCAGGTCATGATCTCACGGTTTGTGGGTTTGGGCCCCACGTCAGGTTCCGTGCTGACAGCTCAGAGCAGCAGCCTGGAGCCTGCTTCAGATTCTGTGTCTCCCCCTCTCTCTCCTCCTCCCCACCTCATGCTCTGTCACTCTCTCTCAAACAAAATTTTTTAACTTAAGAAATTAAAAAAAACAGACTCTGTCTATACCCCCAGAGATTCGGATTTAGCAGGTCTGAGATGGGACTAGAATTGGCATTCCTAACATGGTCCACGGATCACAGTCCCAGTAGCTCTGTTTAAGAGGAACACCATAAGCTCAAATGCTTGCCTCTTTTCAAGGCCTTTGCTAACATGGTAAAGAATTCTCCTACTTATTCTGACTGGAGGCTGGAAGTCCCCTTGCCCGACCTTCTGTCCCCACCACCACCTTTTTTTCCTGCCCCTTTGCACATCCCCTTCTGCCATTCCCTGGGACCATGAAGCATTACCTTCTGCTGGATTCATTACCGCATCGTGGAGCAGGGTGGCCATACTCCCAGCTATCCCTGCAAAACAAACTCCAGAAAATTACCCTCAGGGACCGGGTGTTCTGAGGAAGTTCCTGGGACCTAAAATCAGATGGAACCCTGCACCGCTTTCTAAGAAGCAAAATCTACAACCAGCTCCACCCAGGTGAGCACAGACTCTTAAAGACATAAAGTGATGATCGAACTGTTGGGGGAAATGGGGAGAAGGTAACACAGGCACAGGTACCCACATTTTCATCTTGCAGATCTGTAGTCAATGCTCGGAAAGGCTAGACCCGCCGATGTTGGATGGTACCCGGAAACCACACTTCGTGGCTTTCTCCAGCAGAAAACTGTCCAGCTTTTAATTCTCCCCTGTCCCTCACCTTTGTCTACAGACTAACTCCCTCTGCCCTTGAGCCGGAGCAATCAAAGGGAAGGGTATTATGTACACAGCTAAGAGGGGAGAAGAAGTCAGAAAAGACATTTTTTTAAAAAAATCCTTAATCAAATCCGGGTGTTTTCAAGAAAACAGGCAGGGGAAGCAGGCATCAGGAAGATCTGCATGCGGCAGATTTCCAGGATTAGTTGGCAAAGCTAGGACTTCTCTCAGGGACGACAGACCCCATCCGAGGCTCCCATCTGGCCTGGCTTCAAGAACCAGGCACTTCCCAAGTCTGATTGGGGCCTGGAACTTTGCTTTTGGCTCTGGGTTTCCTCCCCAGGCAGGTGCCACTGCCCAGCCAATTAAGACGAGCACCCAAAGGTGGGAGGAATGAGAAATAGCGGGATAACGCTTCAGAAATGCATACACAGCCCCCTTCCCCCTCCGCCCACACTTACGATCACCCCCAGAAAGGTCAAAATGCAACCACGGCATACGTCGCAGCGAAGCCGTAACAGCGCTGGGCAGAACTGTGTTGCATCAAACCACCGCCACGGGGCTCAGTGACCAAGGGACTAAACATTACACAAGGCAGTTGCAGCAGAAGTCGAACCCCAAGGCCACAGACTCAGGGACGGCATCAGAGTGTGGCCCGCAGCGCCTGTCTTAATAAATGCAACCAGGGGCCCGTTTTTAAAAAGCGAAACGAATGTCTGCAAACCAGCCGGGGGGGGGGGGGGGTTGTTATTACCAGGGTTTGCTGATGGGGCACTCTCAGTAGAACAAAACGAGAAGGGGTAAGGTTGGCCGCTGGTCACTCTACCTGTCCACTGTCGAAACACGAATTTTGTTAAAGTACACCTTAGGCTGCTCTCCGAAGTCCCCTTCCCCACCCAAACGAAACCCGACAAAAGCCAAACCCACAGGAGAGGTGAAAAGAGCCGCTGAGCTGGGCCCGGGAAAACACGGCTGTGTAGGAGCCCCGTGCCAACTCGAGCCCCCGCCCGCCTCTTGCCCTCAAAACAACAAAAGAAAACTCCTTCACAGGGATGCCACTGAGACCAACGGAAGAGAATGGGGGTGAAATTCCCAAATCCCCAGAAGCTTAAGGTGGGAAAGGTCGCCTGTGCTGCCGCAAATCCTTTGTCAGCCATAAAACTTCTTGACCTTTTAAAGCTTAGTTAGATCTTGACGTTGTAGAGACCTGTTGAACCAGTTTTTTTAAATAGTCTCAAAGAAGCTGTCCAGATAACTTTTTTTTTTTTTTTTTTTTTTTGGAATCCAGTATTGAAAAGTTTTGTTTCTAGTCAGGGTTTTTTTTTCCTAGATCTGATCATTAAGTGCTTTTGCGTGTTTAAAAAAAAAAAAAAAAAAACCAAAACAAAACAAACAAAAAAAAACCAAAACAAAATGGAAAAACCCACACAACAATGAAAACTGAAACACCTCTGTCACCGACTGCCCCCAGGCTTTAGAAAGCGAAGGAGGGGAACAGAAAAAGCGTGTGCATGTGTGTGTGTGTGTGTGTGCATGTGTCTGGGTGTGTGCGCACACACGACTCTAGAGTTCTTTATTCATAAGCAAGCATGGCGGAGATGAGGCGTCAGGCTGCTGGGTCACAGGGAGGAGAGCCCTGGGGAAGGGTCTGTTGAAGGAGAGAGCTCTCTAACTTCCAGACAAACGCTTTCAAAATACCGTTGGCTAGGTGGCTGTTTCCTTGGTGGTGGAAAACGGCATTTAAAGTCCTTTTCATGTTTTCGTAGCAGGCAAAATACAAGGCGTGGGCCGGCCCCGCACCCATCACCATCACGTTGAGGCCTCGCAGGGGCCTCCAGAAGCCTTCAGTCCGAATGATTTTCTTGAGGGCTCCGTAGACGCTGGTGTACTGTGCTTTGGGATCTGGATTCAAACTCTGCATTCGTGTCTAGGGGAGGGTGAGAAAACAAAACGGTGGAAGTTAACAAGGACGGTGAAGAGGAAAAAGAAGACCCGGGGCGGGGAGAGGGAGAGGAAACGGCCCATTTTCAGAGTTCCACAGGATTTCTCGGCGAAGAACACATTTATTCCCTCCTTCCGCCTTCACAGACACACGTGGATTTCGTTATGCCCAGCAAAGGGGGGAAATGGTTGGGGGGGCAGGACTGGGAAGAGGCAGATGGCAAGCTGTGTGACCCCTGAGGAATCCCTTAACCTCTCTGGACCTCGGGACCCCCCAATTAAAAAAAAAAAAAAAAAAAAACAGGATTCTGGCTAACGTCAAATGAAATCATGTATATGAAACCCTTAACTCAGAGACCTAGTCAAATGGAAGTATTATTATCCTGTGGTTCCCACTCTGGTCCTAAAGCCTGTGTCCTCACTTATCTGGGACCTCCATGGTCTGAATGCTCCTGCTGTTCAGCCCCAAACAGGAATCTCCCAGGGGCCCTCTGGGCTTCATCCCACATCTCCTCTAAATGCACTTCACATTTTGTCTTCTGAAGTTAGCACGTAAATATAAACGGTCTTGTTCATAATTTCTTCCTGTGTATAGCCTTGCCTCCGTGAGGCAGAAGCTTGGCTTTCCCCCATCTTTGTTATCCCTTCAGATTTCCTGGGCACTTGAGTAGGTGTGACAATTAATCTACACGTCCATGTAGCAAGACCACAGTACCCACGCTGGCTCCAACTATAGCAAACGGTACTCTAGATGTCGCTATGGAGGCATTTCTTAGGTGTGATTAACATCGAAACCATTAAATCAGACTGAGCAAAACAGATTACCCTCTGTAATATGGTGGGCCTCATCTAATCAGTTGAAAGCCCGAAGAAGAAAAAACAACCTGTTGTCCCCCAAGGAAGAAAGAATTCTGCCTCCCGAAAGTCTCTGGACTGGAGCTCTTCCCTGAATCTCCCGCTGGCCTGCCTTGCAGATTTCGATTCCCCAAGCCTCCATAATCACATGAGCCAATTCTTTCCACATACACACACACTCTCCCCACCATGGCTCTTATGGCTTGGTCTCTCTGGAGAACCCAGTATCTCCCAGGTGAAAGACCCACCCTGCCTCAGTCCCGCAAAAGCAACAAACAGCACACCTTCCTCCACTCCCCTCAACACACACACAGCCTGGAGGAAAGGGTCTCCAGTCATTAGCATGGATATCCTTCTACCACACCAAGCAAAATCGTACCCAAGCCTAACACGTAAAACTGAAGAATTTCTCTGAGAATGGGGTGAAGGGCCCTGGGCCCATGTCTCAACTCCGAGGCAGAGACACCCCTACCTCCCCACCCAGCAACTCAAGGGCTCAGAGGAACAGCGTGAAAACCAATGATCTAAATTAATGCTCATATGTAGTATTTAAGAAACAAACGAAGGAACAAAGAAAAGAAAACCAGAGAAACAAAAAAGCAGGCTCTTAACTATAAAGAACAAGCTGGTGTGTTCGCCAGAGGGCAGGTGGGCGGAGGGATGGGCGAAGTAAGTGATGGGGATTAAGTGGTGCACTTATCGTGCTGGGCATTGAGTAATGTGTGGAAGGGGTGACTCATTATACGGTACACCTGAAACTAACATAACACTGTGTGTTAATTACGCTTGGATTTTAAGACATAAATCAATAAAATTTTTATTTTAAAACTTAAAATAGAAAAAATTTTCAAATTCATAGTAATTTTCAGATTTCACCAGTTTAGTAAAAACCACAAAGAAAATGGGCACATCGTGGGCAACTTTTCATTTTGCCAAGAAAGGACACCAAACAGTAATGATGTGAGTGGCAATCACCACTGCCCTCTATTAGGATCACTCTCTACGAGAAAAGACATTTTTAATGCTTAAAGAAAGCAGAAACAAAAACAAAGACTACCTCTGGTCATAAAACTGTTCTTTAAATTAAATTTAGCTTCATCAAAAATGTACCACTTTAGCCCAGTGAAAATACCCCCTGGCCCAGCCAGAGCCATTGCTGGACACTGGGGCCCACACTCCAGGGGAGTGCCGGGTGGGAATGGACGGGGTCAGTGTCCCTGTGCCTTTCTGTTTGTTTCCTATTCTGACATGTTCCCAAAAGTATCTGAAGAGGCTTAATGATGGAGGATACATTATAAGCAAACAAGAGCAGGGGAAGAGACACACACTTGTCAGCCAAGTGAGCACCTGACTCGCAGGGGTGAATACTCCACCTTGCTCAGAATATGCAAAGCGTTTACTCCGGAGGGGGCAGCACTGCTTCTCCAAGGACAACACAAGTTATCTTTTAAATTCTAAAAGACACTTGAAATCGCTCACATTCTAGAGCAAAGAAAGCTTTGCATTCTCCCTGGCTTTTTCTTATCATTGCCCCTGATAAAAAAAGCTGGAGTACAATGCAGGAGGTGGTATAGAGAGAACAGGGATGGGATTCAGATTCTATCACTTCCGTGTGACCCTGGGCAAGATGGTTAACCTCTCCAAGCTTTAGTTTCCTCTTCTGGCAGGATGGTTAAGAAAATTAGAGGTCTAGGACCATCATCACTGTAATAACAAAGGAGGCACCAAGAGGCTACGTAATATGATTCTAGTATATAACCTGCAGACGTCTAAGTTCCACGGAGGGGGGCGCTGCAACACCTATTCTGGTGTCTAACTCACACTGGGGGCCCAACAAATATTTGTTGAACAAATGGATGAACAAACAAATGTGTGCACCTAAGGGTACCAACTGGGGCAACGGGATATGTCGCTTATTTCACTTCCCCCTAAAACATGAGTAGCTTTCCTGGAGTTACCTTTTCCTCCTATCGTCCGTTCCCTATTCCCTGTTTTTTTTTTTTCCTTTTTTAATTTTAGATGGGTGGGGGGGGCAGCACAAGTTGGGGAGAGGGGCAGAGGGAGGACAGAGAGAAAGAGAAAGAGAGAATGAATCCCAAGCAAGCGCCACACTCAGCGTGGAGCCCAACACATGGCTCGATCCCATGAACCCTGAAATCCTGAACAGAGTCAAAATCAAGAGTCAGACACTCAACCGACTGAGCCACCCAGGTGCTCCCATCCTTTCCCTATTGATAACAAGCCCTCATTTTGCTGCATTTCTCAAGCCCAGGTGTGATCTGTTGAGCCACAGGCAGACCAGAAGCAGCCAGTCCCAGGGGCCTGTCAATAAAGGGTGGCTCCTGTCACTCCCATACCCAGAGGAGAGGTCCTTGGGGATCCAGAAGTCCATTCTCCCCCTTCCCCCACCACCACTCCTAATTTCTGGCCTTGGGCAGCAAGGCTAGCCTATGGTGAAGCTCCTTGGGTCCTAGTGGGTAGCCCCTTATAAGCGGGGGTGGCAGTGTGAGAAACACACAGGACCCTGAGGGAGGAGCTGAGAGGCTGGATTCTGGGCTTGACACGGGCTCCAATGGGGCCAAGTGGCCTTGGCTATGGCATCTCATCTTCTGGTCCTCAGGGTCCTCAACTGGAAAATGCAGGACAGGGTCAGAATAGTGACTGATTACCAGAATCACCAGGAAGTGTTTTAATTAAAATGTCTTTCCGGGCACCACTCCAATACACTGATTCAAAACTTCTTTTTTTTTTTTAACTCCCCAGATGATTCTGATCATCACTCAGTTTGGAGAACCACTAAATAAAGGGCCCGCTCAACCCCAGCACTTTCTAGAAACATTCTGTGTCCAGCCTCGGCGGAAAGGCAGGCACTTGGGTTAAGTGAGGAGGGGGTGGCTGGGGAGGCAGTGTGTACAGAGGGGAGCAGAGGCAGGAAGCTTCAGGGCCAGCCAATGTAACGTTGTTGGTCTGAACTCCAGCTCTGGGACCTCAAGCGGGTTCCTTAATGTTGGGGCGTGGAATAGTCCTCCGGGGAGCTGTTGGCAGACGGGGTGAAGTAACTGTGGGAAAGACCCAGCCCGGGTTGGCAGGCAACCGTGACCGTCCCTTCTCCCATCCACCCTTTCCATACACGATGATGTCGGGAAGGCTCCTCCATTTCAAAGCCACTCACAGAGGCCAGCCCTCGTAGACTTCCAAGGGAAACTCGAGGTTGATTTCTCCCCTCTCCCTTTTTAAGGGGGCGAGGCAGCTGAGGAAGCAGTACTGAACCAAAATGCACCACCCCCTGTGGAAAAGAAAAGGGCAACTGGGTATCTCTGCTCAAGCAGTGACTTCTCTGTCCCCAGGGCCCAGGGGTCTACTCAAAAAGGCCACATTTAATGACACATACTTGGGACAGAGACAAGTGGCCCCTGAGCATGGAGGAGGACCTGGTCAAGGCCTCTCTGGGCCCACCGTGGCCAAGTTCCGGGCCAGAGCCACTTCAGTCCTACGGCACCTTCATTTCTTCAACCTGCCCACAGGGAGAGCCCACCCTCGACGGGTACCAGGATGCAGAGAGGAAAAACTGACGGGGAAGTCAATAACAAAGAATGCAAGGGGCGCCTGGGGGTGGCTCAGTCGGTTAAGCGTCTGACTTCGGCTCAGGTCACGATCTCACGGTTCGCCTGTCTGAGCCCCGCGTCGAGCTCTGTGCTGACAGCTCGGGGCCTGGAGCCTGCTTCGGATTCTGTGTCTCCCTCTCTCTCTCCCCTTCTCCCACTCGTGTGCACCTCACCCCTCTCGAAAATAAAGAAACTTAAAAAAAAATAACCAGGAACGTGGGAGATGAGGGGAGAATGACCCATACTGACTGTCCGGGTGCCACGAGGGGGCTCAGGGAAGAGGGAGGAGTGGCCAGCGTGCACCAGTATGGTCTCCAGAGCCCCCTCACAAGGGAGGCTGACGGAAGCCAAGGTGGCCAGGCAGTGGCCAGAGTGGGGGCGACCACCAGTGTAG